GAGAATAACAAAGTGGAGGAAGAAAATACTTAACTGCAATCACACAGAAGCCCTGAAAGCATAGCATGTAACATACGGGGCTTCCAACCAAAAGGCTGGCAGTTAAAATCTACCAGTCACTGGGATAAAGTCTCCTCCCATAAATATTTACAGCCCAAAAAATCCAAATGAGGGTTGCTATGAGTTGGAACCAACTCAACTACCAAAACTATACTTTTAATCAATTTCTAAATTTCGAAACTTACGGCTAATTTTAGAAGGGTAAAGCAGTCCCACATTCCTGGAATAAACCTCAATTAGTAATAATGTATAATTCTTCTTATATATTATTGAATTCTACAAGCTACTATTTTATTAAGCAAAGTTTGCCTCTATATTCTGGAAGAACACTGGTCTACAATTTGTGGAATTTTTTTGTACTGTCTAGTTTTGTCATCAAGGCTTCATAAAATTAATCAACATTATTCTCTCCTCTTCTATTTCCCAGAAGAGATTATATAGAATGTGTCTTAATTCTTCTTTAAACTTTTAATAGAATTCTCCAGTGAAACCATCTAAACCTGGATAATTCTTTCTTAGGAGTTTTCAAATTATGAATTCCATTTCCTTGGTACACAGTATGTGAATCAAGCTATTTCATAATAGATGACTTGCACTAGTTTGTGTTTTTTTGAGGATATGGTGTCTCTTTTTTTAATGTGATAAAAATATTTATTAAAAAAAAAAAAAAACAAACTTCGTATCTTAAAGTTGAGAGTGACTCTCTGATTCACATGGCAGTTTGCATCCAATACTTTTTTTTTGTTAACAGAGACATCAGTATGGCCAAATACCAACTCATTTGTATTAATAATAAATTAATATTTGTATTGAACATTTCTAAACAGGCATAAAAACTTTTATTGGCATCTTTTTGTTTTTTAAATAAAACACTAACAAATAGCAAAGTCTCAAAAGACATCTTTTAGAAAAGTACCCATGGTGCCATGGAAGAGAGTGTCAGTTCAGTTTGTTTAGTTCTTCAATTTGTTGAGTCAGCCCTCAGCCTCTACCACACTGGGGTGGGACTAATCATGTCATATGTTCTCAGCCCTCCTTCTCTGGCCATAAAATTGTGACTCTATTCCTGACTTGATTCATTTTAACGTGACAACATTCTAACAAATTATTATAGACACGGGCTTCTCTATTTTCTCAAGATTATGGATTGTGAATGGATTGAAGCAGCATTTCCAGCTTACAAACGGATCCACAGGTGATGTGGTATCATTTAAATTCAGCTTGTGACAATTAAACCAATAAAATGCAGCAATGAGGAGGCTATTGATGAAGTACAGCCAGGGAATGCTCATCTCAATATAAGCCACAATCTGTACTAGAAATAAAAAGACAATTATCTGTAGTATCAACCGTGACCAGGTACCAAGAAAGCAGACAATGATTTTTCAAGGTCATAGCACAAATTGAACGGGATGGAAAGGGAAGGTAGAGGGTTGCCTCGTTCCTATAGGACGTTATCCTCACAGCGTGTATCATAACAACAACGTCTGACCAAGAGGCGATTAAGACCATCAGCATGGAATAGAAGAGCCAGGCGCCCCTGCGAGCTGACGTAGAAGGGGTACTGCTGCAGGGCGGTGCTCTGAGCGCCCAGGCCTGGGGAGACAGCTGGGTTTCCCAAAACATGGGCTAGGAACTATGTCCACATAAAAATTATCATCAAGAGATAAAGGCATTTTTGACCTCTATGTGAAGTTTGGTGGTTTTTGAGAAATTCAGGTAATAATCTATACACGCAATCAGGAAGACAGGATAATACAGAAAGCCGTAAGGTAAAGGAAATTATTTAACAGGCAGATGTGGTATCTGGTAAACCTGATGCCTAAAAGCACATAATCCCTGAAATAACATGATGGAAATGTTTATCAGAAGGAAAAGATCAATGACTGCCAGTGAAATGCAAAAATGTCCCATAAAATGTTCACGGGTGTTCTTCCTTCTCATTCCTAGTGTGAGGATATTTAATAGTGTTTTTCCAAATAAAATTAAGAAGTGCAGAGTGCTAACACTTAGGGGCTGGCTCATGTGCTATACCTTGTACGGAGAAGAGCAGTACTCAGAATAAAGAACAGTCATATTTTAGTTCAATTTCAGAAGGTCTGCTGAAATACATGTAAGAAAACATGACTTGGTTTTCTTTTTCATCCCCTCCTCTCTCCACTCAGTCCTTCATGGCTGATGGATGATCTTCCGATGTGATACTATTTTACTGCCTTCAATTTTCTTACTTTTGGTGCCTTGCATTTCATTTTGCAATATAAAAAATGCTATGCAAATCAGCTCTGCTTCATTTGCACAAGCTGGGGGTGGAGAGGCTGTGGTCACATGACCTCTGCAGGTCAGATCCCAATGGTCACCTCTGGAAACAATGACCTGATGACAAGCCAGTGACAGCCACTGCTTCTGGACACCACCTGCTCGCATGAGAAAAGGAGCTGAAATTACCCTTCAAGCTGGGTTGGTTATAGAAGAGTCAAGTCAGAGCCCTGCCTCGCTGGCCCCAGGCGGCAGATGCAGGGAGGTTGGCAGCCAGCTCCGCCCTGTCTTCCCAGGTGCTCCCCGCGGGTAGGCCAGGGACCTGAGAGGCGCCCTCCCCCCCATACCTCCCCAGACTCAGTGGCTGAGGATCTGGTGTATTAATGGTAAGGAACTGCGAACCCAACTCAAGTCTACGAGTTGCTCCACAGAAGAAAGGTGGGGAATCTCCTCCCATGCAATTTATTGCCTCTGAAAATCTGATAAGAGGGCAGGTTTCAAATCGACATTACACAAGTTAAAAGTTGTCTGTTGTTATGTGCCATCAAGTCGCTTGCGACTCATAGCGACCCTATGTACAACAGCCCTAAACTCTTCTCTGTCCTGTGCCAATCGCACTGTCTCTGATTCACCCATCCCGATTACCCCAGTCACTGAATCAACCCACCTCCTAGAGAGTCTTCCCCTCCTGCACTGTCTCCCTCCACCCTCCCAAGCATGATGTCCCCTTCCTCACCAAGGACCTCTCCCTCCTTACAACATGTCCAAACTATGTTAGACGAAGCCTCAGAATCCTTGCTTCCAAGGGGCCGCCCAGTTTAACCCTCTCCAGGATGAATCTTTTTGTTTTCCTAACAGTCCATGGTATCCTCAATACTCTTCTCCAGCACCATAGCTCAAAGGCATCAATTCTCCTCCTATCTTTGCTAGTCATTGTCCAACTCTCTGATGCATAACAAGTGGCTGCATGGCCTGTATCAGTCAAATTTATATATGTACACTTTTTCACAGCATTCTCTCACTTTTGCTATCTGCTAGGTTTTTCCTTTTTTCCCCTTTATCATTCTTGCTAAAATCTTGTCAATTTTACTGACATATTTTTAAAGAGTCAGCTATTTGTTTCATCCATATCTTCTACTGCTTTTCTGCTCTGAATGCAATTTCTGCTCTTATCTTTATTCTTTCCTTCCTTCTGCTTTCCCTGATATTTTGCTCTTCTTCCTAGTTCCTGAAGTGACAGTTTAAATTGTTGATTTGAGATTTTTCCAATATATGCATTTAGTTCCATATATCCTTTTAAAATCTGACTTTAGCTTTTTTCCTCACAAATTTGTATCTATTATAGTTTCATCTAGTTTTTTCTATTTTCTTTGAGGCTTCACCTTTGATTAATTATTTAGAAGTATGTTGTTCAGTTTCCAAGTCCTTGGAGATTTTCCTGTTCCCTTTCTCTTATTTCAACTGTGAGTTCATTATGGTCACAGGACACACTCTGATCTCCACATATAAGCTGTAAAAAGTTATCACGTGGAAAGTTGTTGCTTAGGCAGTATCAAGATAAGTATGACTCAGAGTGACCCTATCAATAACAGATGTGAACGCTGTCTTATTCTGTGCCATCCCCATCATCCCTGACACACCTCAGCCCATTGTTGCAGTCACTGTGTCAGTCCATCTCTTTGAAGGTCTTCCTCTCTTCTGCTGACCCTCTACCTTTCCAAGCATGATGTCCTTCTCCAAAGAATAACCTCTCCTAGTAACACGCTCAAAGTATGTGAGACAAAGTTTCTCCATCCTTTCCTCCAAGGAGCACTCTAGCTATACTTTCTCTAGGACATATTTGTTCTTTTAGCAGTCCATAGGATATTCAGTACTCTTCTCCAACACCACAAGTCAAAGGCATCAATTATTCTTCTATCTTTATTCACTGTCCAGCTCTCAGAGGCTGAGCAAGTGACTGAAAAGCCTATGACCTGACTCAAGCGCACCTTAGTCTTTAAACTGACATTGCTCTTCTTCAGTAACCTGGAGAGGTATATGACAAAGGACTTTCCCAATACAGTATGTCTCCTGATTTCCAGACTGTTGGTATCAATGGTATTGAGTGTGGATCCAGTAAGAAGAAATCATTGACAATTTCAATCTTTTCTCCATCTATCATGTTGCTTTTTGGTCCAGTAGTGAGAATTTCTGTCTTCTTGACGCTGAGATGCAATCCATATTGAAGGCTGCGGTCTCTGATCTTCTGCAGCAAGCATTTCAAGTCCTCCTTACTTACAGCAAGCAAGATCATGTCATCTGCATACCGGAAATTACTGATGAGTCCTCCTCCAATCCTTTTGTCACATTCTTTTCAGAGTCCAGCTTCTTGAATGATTTGCTCAGCATACAGACGGAATAGATATGGAGAAATGATGCACATCTTTCCTGATTTTGAACCAAGCAGTGTTCATGTGGAATAAAGCCCACTAAATCTGCACTATGGATAATATACATACTTTAGGGAATAGTTAATAAAATACTCTTGGATCAGTTTCTTTATTACCCAGCCCATTTCATATGAGACTGGACATATGTGACAGAAAAGTTTAAGACTGCCCTAATTTCATTCACAAGTTGATTCCATTGTATAAATAAATACGAATTTAGAATACACGAAAGAACAAAATACCTTCTGTCCTTACCCTCTGAGCTTTTGCGAGTTCTTCTTTCAATCTTTCATATCCCTTTTCTCTGACTTCCAAAACAGATGGGCTTCGTAACCGGGACAGACTATCAGTACTCAGTCCAAAAATATCATCGCTGCCCTCACAAGCCTCTGTTAAAGTAGCCCCCTGTAAAAACTCCCTCTCTGCATTGTAGCTGTCCTTTGTTGTAGTTAATTTAGTTAGTCCAGCTGTAACTACAGAGGTAGTACAAGGTGCTGCTGAATTTGTAATGTGGATGCTGTAAAGGAAAAACAGGGTTTTTTTTAGAAAACATTAATATATGCTCAAATATAACTTGCATAAACACACAGGCATAGAAGTAAACTATCCCATAGGACGGTCACTATAGTTCATTACTCACACACACTAACCATAATACAAGTGTTTATTAGCAGCTACATGTGACTTAACAGCTTTCACATTAGTCAGTACAGAAATATAACATTTTATGAGCACGTAACTTTTTGGATAGTGCTGCTCTAGAACAGCAGTCAGCAAGTTCCAGCCCACAATTCTCTCTCAGCATTATAGCTGTCCTTTCTTATGGTTAATTTAGTCAATTCAGTTATGGCCTGAGAACTGTTATCTCACCCAGAGATACTTCATAAATAAGGCCTAGCAATCTGCTTTTGAAAAGTCACAGCCTTGACTCTGTCCAACTGCATTTGTCATGAGTCTAACCTGACTCAGTAATGAACAACCAAACAAGAGCTAAGAATGGTTTTTATAATTTGAACTGCTTGGGGCGGGTGGGGGGGAGAAAAAAGAAAAATTATATGTGTCACATATGAAACGAGAAATCCTGTGTCTAATGACAAAATTTTATTGGGCAACTATCATACTTACTTATAGACAACTTATTTCTACTTTCAACAACAGAATTGAGTCGCTGCAACGCTATGGCCCACAATGCCTAAAAGAGTTACTGTCTGGTCCTTTATTAAAAATGTTTGCCAACTTTTGCTCTAGAACTAAATACACATTGTTCTATCTGGCAAGTTAGTACTATTAAAATTTTCTGAAATAATGACTCCTCAAGATAGACAATTCATTTTTAATTGTTGTTGTTATGTGCCATCAAGTCACCTGTGACTCACAGCGATCCTATGTACAACAGCCCTAAATCCTGTGCTAGACTGTGCCAATCTTATTGTCTCTGACAAACCTGCCTACTCCATTACCTTAGTCACTGAATCAATCCATTTCAGCAAGAGTTTTCCTCTCTCACGCTGCCCTTCCACCCACCCAAGCATGACGTCCCTCACTATAAGTGTTTTGTTTATTTCTTACCTGATACTGGATATTTCTGCACAATTTAAACGTCTGGGGGATGAATACACAGGTTGAGTAGGAAGGTCAGAAACATCTAATGCATTAGCCTGGATAGGGGCAGAGCATAAAGTTGAAGGATGTGGCCGGTAGATGACACTTGGTGAGGTAGTCTGCTCGTGAGTTCCTGATTCATATACACCAAGAAGGTCTGGAGAAGTAGGTGAAGCAAGGTTTACTTCATGGAAGCCTTCCAAGGGGTCATTAGCCATAGCAAAAGCTTCATCATAAGATAACCTATTTTAAATAAGAAACAGTAATAATCTTCAGTGCTTTTTTCCCCCCAGTTAAATCAAGTAAAATTTATAAATTATAAAATATGCTTCATTCAAAACTAAACCCACTCACCAAGTTGATTCTTGTAACAACCCTACAAGTAAGGGTAGAACTGCCCCACCATTTCCCCAAGGAACTTTATACAGAAACAGATGGAAACATCTTTTTCCTGCATAGCAACTGGTGAATTTAAACTGCCAACTTTTTGGTTGGAAGCAGAATAATTTAACCACTGTTATCACCAGGGCTCTTCAATGTATTATAAATGATAAATTTAAAATGAGTTATAAAAAAAAATCTATAGTTACCTAACACTTATTAAGTGACATCAGAGTATATTTACTATACAAAACAATCTGATACAGAATAAATTTGAAAGCAAAAGCTAATATTGTTAAAGTGGATGCAATTAAGTAATTATGACAAAAAAATTACTTAGTATTTTTAATTTTGCTATATCACTTTCCAAGAGCATCTATCCCTTTACAAGAACATTAAGGTGACTATTCAAGTAAGTACTTAGTTAAGTATTATTAGCTTGTGAATTGTATAATCTCAGTAAACATTTGCTCTTGTGATCAGCTACTGATACACTAAACACCCTTCATCTCCTTTGTAAACAAAATACAAAACAAAAATATTCGACTGCATCACCAAGTTTACATGAAAACTACAAAGGAAATCACTCAAACTTTTTAAGAAAGAAAAACCTAAATAAACCCACTAGCCTGATAATAAAGGGCTCCAATAATAATCCGATTTACTAATAATTTTTTACCAGAAATACAAACACATGCCAAGAAAACTTCTAATTCTGAAAATTTAATTAATACTCAAATACAGTTTATTAATTTATTCACTTTAAGATAGCCCTATGTATGGGTTTTTATTAACTTATTATACTTCCTATTTTCTAGCCGGAATACTTCTAATACTTCATTAGATTTTCCAAGCTGTAAATCTTAATGAGACAACTTATTACACTTCCTAGTTTCTAGCCTTAATACTTCTAATACTTCATCAGATTTTCCAAAGCTGTAAATCTTAATGAGACAAGTGTGTAAGGAACAGTGAGTTACAATGTGGGGGTGGGAAAATCTACCTGCTTAAAGAACCGTGTCCATCAATAACATCCATAGTACCAAACAAATAGCTACATGGTCAGAGATGCCACCACACAGCCTCCTGCACCAATTTCTACCAACTGGGTCCAATGTTTACTGCAACTTGACACAGACTTTATATGCAGTTTTGGGGTTTATTAGGGAAATAGTTTGGGGAGTGGGGGAGGTAAAGAATATCACACAATGCAAATCCAGGTTTAGTCTAGCAGTCCCAAACCAGATTAATAAGGTACTATTCCTCAATTAGTTAAAGTCCAGGTTCAGTTCAGAGCACTAATCCACCTCTGGTTTCTTGAATCATCCAGAAATCTTTATCTCGGAGCAGTTACAAGTAAGCTTTTCCTTCAATCATCCAGCAAGCTAACCCTTTGACCTTGGCTCCATCTCAAGAGTTCCTCTAGCTATACCTTGCCACAGTCTCTTCACAGCAGTGCCACAGTCTCTTTCGCCTCTCTCCACCATTGTTCTTCAGAGTGTGAATCAGCTGTTGATGATTTACAAAACCATGTGTTTGTAGTTAAGGAAGTTGGCGACTACGCCCCCAACAGGAGCTAATACAATGGATAGAAAGTCAATATTCAAGGTTTCTGACACCACAGGAAGTGACTGTCTATCTTCTTCTCAAGGAATAGCTGGTGGGTTTGAACCACTGAACTTTTGATCAGTAGTGCAACATGGAGCAAGCGTATTATACTACCAGAGGTCTTTGTTGTTGGTAGTGTGTACTACTGAGTCAGAACTAGTCCATAAGCTGGCCCTCCAGCAGGTATTCAATCACACAGGTGGATATTGTCTTTTTCTTGCTTGAAGTAGATTGTGAACGGAAACTGCATGCTTGTGGGAAGGTAGTGCAGCAGTGGGACATATTATAAAGGAATTGAAAAAAAGAAAATAATAAAACTTTTTGTAAACATGTAAGTAATAATACTAATTACTATTATTATCACACTTTTATATGTATGAAAACAAAGTCAGTATGTTATATTAATGTATTTGGAAAACAGATTTTCAACATAAGAAAAAGAGACACAAATATAAACTCAAAGATAATAAGTAAAAAACAATCTAGGCATTGAATATGAGTCAGAAATAATAAGAAAAATACCAAAATATTTTCTATTTTAAAAAAACCTATAACTGAACCATTGAGAAAGACCAGTAATAGTAAGCAACTCTGATGCAATGAACATTCCCCTGTCCAAAGTAATCTTATTAAAAACAACAAAAAGACTAATTTCAGACTTAGGGCAGAAAGATACCAAAAAACCCCTCCAGAACATCCTGTTGTGCCAAGAAGTTAAAAAGCTATCAAAAACTCCTGGGGTCACATCAAATGGAATCCGACTAACCAAAAGAGTGGGACAACCTGGAACATAAATAAAATAATCTACAATGAATTAAAACTCACTAGTCTATGGACTGTGAAAAAAACAGACATGTCTTGGAAAAGGTGTAGCCTTGGAGACAGTATGGCAAAACTTCTCACATACTTTGGGCATGTTGCTACACTTGGACAGGTGGGAGGACTGTGAAGAAAAGGAAGACCTACACCAGGTGGATTGGCAAACTAACTGCAGCAACGGGCTCAAGTGTGTCAGAGACAGTGAGGTTGGTACAAAATACGACAGAATAAAGATCTGTTGTTCATAGGGTCGCTGTAAGTTATTCTTGACTCAATGGTACCTAACATCAACAACAAAACACATTATCTCCTGTTCAACTCTTTAACTTCATTTCTTCCCACTGTTTTGGCTTCTTAGCATTCTAATGCAATATTCTGTTTCTTCTGACATCCATTTTGGTCTTTTTTTCCTCTTCTGTAATTTAATTCTTTTAATATTTGCTTGGCTTAGAAGAAGATTCGTCAACAACCTATATTATGTAGATTACACAACCTTGCTTACCAAAACTGAGGAAGACTTGAAATGTTTGTTGAAGGTGATTAAGGACTGCAGTCTTTATATGACTGCACCTTAACATCAAGAAAACAAAGAGCTTCACACCAGACCAACAGGCAGTATCATAACAGATGGAGAAAAAATTGAAGTTGATAACAATTTCACCTTACTCAAATCCACAGTCAATATCCCTGGCACCAGCAGTCAGGAAATCAAAATATGAGCTGCAGTGGGAAAATAAGCTGTCAGGGACATCCTTTGGGTGCTAAAAAGCAATGATGCCAATCTAGAGACACAGTGTGCCTATGCCTAGTCCAGATCATGATCTTCCCAACTGCTTGTGATGCATCTGAATGCTGGGCAGTGAATAAGCATGACAAAAGAATATATGCCCTTGAGCTGTGGTGTTGGGGAAGAGTATTGAACATACCATGGATTGCCAAGAGAACAAAAAGGTCCATCCTAGAGAGGATGAAATGTGGTTTCTCCTTGGAGGAAAGTATTTTTAAATCCCATCTCACATGTGGTAGATCGTCAGGAGAGTAAGTCCCTGGAGGACTTCATTCTTGAAAGGGTGGAGGATCAGTGCATGAGCGGATGACCCTGGATGATATACACTGACACAGAGACTGTGGCAATAAGAGTCAGATGTGTCCGAGATGGTGAGCTTGGTTCAGGATAGGGCAAGGTTCAGAACCACTGTTCATGAGATCACTAACTTACAGTCAACTCAACAACACATAATAACAAAACATATCCAATGGTTTAAATCCATGAGTTCATTACCACAATAAAAAGAAACCATTCTCCATTCCCCCCCCCAAAATTCCTTAGTTTCCTTTAATGTCTGTGAAATATCTGTAACAACAGGCTGACAAGTAACAGAGATTCTGAGAACGGCATGAGATAGGGCCAAGTTCAGTTAAGATCTGTTGATCATGAATTGTAGTCTATTCCATGGTACCCATCAGGAAAAATAAAATTATTATGAAAACTGGTAAATTTAAAAAATAATCAAGAACGTATCCTAACTTTCAAATAACCAAAGGAACTAAACAGTTGATGAGAAGTTACTTTTTTCTTTAAAAATTGTAACTTTAAATATATGACTACTTTGCAATACTAACGAAATAGGAGGGAGCTCTGGTGTTTGTTGTTATCGTTATGTGCCGTTGAGTCACCTGCAATTCATAGTGACCCTATGTACAACAGCTCTGAAACCTACCCTGTCCTGAGCCAGTCTCACTGACTCCAACACACCTACCCTAGTTGCCCCCTTTACCAATCTATCTCATCCTGGGTCTTCCTCTCCTGAGCTATCCCTCCACCTTTCCAAGCATGTCCTTCTCCAAGGATCGATCCCTTTTGTCCATGTGCCCAAAGTAGGTAAGACAGAGCTTCAAAATCCTAGCCTCCAAGGAGAAACTAGGTTTCACCTCTGCAAGACAGACCTATTTGTTTTCTTGGTGGTCCATGGTATGTTCAAAGACTCTTCTCCATCACTGTAACTCAAAAGTGTCAATTCTTCTTCTGTCATCCTTAATCACTGTCTAGCTCTCTTATGCACAGCAAGTAGCTGCAAAGGCCATGGCCTGGATCAAGTGAACCATAGTCTCTAGAAGTGACATCGTTGCTTCTCAGTACTCTGGAGAGGTCCCTGGCAGCAGTGATAAGGAACTGCACTGTCAACTCAAATGTACACAATTTTATCCATAAGCTCTTGTGCAGAAAAAGGATGAGTGATCTCCTCCTGCAAAATTTACTGCCTCTTAAAACAAACTAGAGGGTCAGCAGTGGGTCAAGCCCAACTTGGTGGTACCAAACAATAATAGTGCATCTGTTGTTGTCATTAAGGGCCACAGAATTGAGTATGGCTCACAACTACCCTATGAACAACAAATCTGAACTCTATCCTATCCTGTTCCACACTTA